ACCCCCCCCCCCCCCCATCAGGCAAAGGGCATCGGCACCGCGCTGGTCAGCACGTTGACGACCGAGGAGCAGACCATGTTGTTGGCGGAGACGACGATGGCGTCGGGGGTCAGCGAGGAGCCGTCGCGCACCGCGATGCCGCCCATGCCGGCAAACACCTGCGGGTCGGGCGGGGCATCGGCAAGGGCTGGGGGCGGCGGGGAGTGGGCGGGCAGGGGCGCAGGCTGGCTGTGCCCTGGTATGCAGCAGGCGCGGGTGTTTGCCGGGGCCTGGCCGCCACAGCGCCGCAAGCAGCAGCCCGGGGGCAGAGGCGGCGCCCTGCCTCCAGGCCCCTCCCCTGCGCCTCACGTGCAGCGTGGCGCCGTGGAGGGTGTCCACAGCCAGGCTGACACCGCCGCTGGCCAGGTCCTCGGGCAGCAGCTGGTCCACCCTAGGCATCGTCACCTGGCCCTGCAGACGGTCAGAAAGTGAAACTGAGGCAGGCCGGGGCAGGGCGGCAGGGACTAGTGCTCGGGGCGCGCATGTGTGGGCGCAGCATGCCTGCCCTGCCGCTCGCCGCCGAAGCACCATGCGCCCTGCGCTGCCGCCGAGGCGCTGGGCATGGCGTGGCTCTCACGGCACCCTGCTCGCCCACCCTGTCTGCCGCTCCAGCCCACATGGAGGCCCACCTGCGCCACCAGGAACGTCAGCACCTGCTGCAGCACCTCGATGTCCCGCAGGTCCACAAGGCCCGCCTGCACCTGGGCCCAGGCATCATTGGTGGGGGCAAACAGCGTGATGGTGGCGGCGCTGTCGTTGAGCAGCGGCGCCACCCCTGCACGCAGCGGCGGGGGGCAGGCCGGTAGGCGAGGCGAGGCGGGCGGGGGGGCGAGCCTGGCGCTGCACGCCTGCTGGCCCCACTCCAGGCGCCGTGCTGCCGTGGCGGTGCATCCGCAGGCATGCGCTCCATGCATCGCCAGAGGCAGCCAGCTCCCTGGCCCCGCCGCCTGCTTGCCTGCGGTCTCCAGGTGGGTGAGCAGGGTGCTGAGGTCGGGGCGGGACTGCAGGAAGTCCAGGATTGTCTCGTTGCAGGTGAGAGTCGCCGAGGGGGCGATGGCGGCGGTGGTGAGGCCCTCCCTGACGCCGGCACCCTCTGCGGCAGCAGGGAGGCAGGCGGTCACGGGCGGGGCAGCTGCGGCGGCCAGCTTTGCCAGGGCGGCGCTTTCTGCTCCCTGCCCCTTGGAGGCTGTAAGGTGTGTGCAGCGCCCGGCTCGTGCGTTACATGAGTGCAACGCGAGGGGGCGCTGCAGCACACCTTACAGGCCCCGCTCGCGTTGCAGGCGAGCAATCCGAAGCGAATGGGAGTTCTTGAAAGCAGGCAATGCGAAGTTCGAACTAGATGGGGGATGAATGTAGTGCCAGAGAAATGTTGCTGCCCCGAGGGATCGGTGGGCCTCAGCGGCCATCAGGCGCGGGCTGGCCGGCAGCCGGTGCCAGCAGGCCGGCGGCAGAGGCCATCGGCAGCCCCGCGCCCGCGGCGTCAGCTGGCGCAGGCAGCGAGGCAGGGCCGGGCTGGGCAGGGATCAGGTACTGCATCTGCAGGAGCAGCGCCTCGCCGCTGAGCGGCTTGGCGGGGCCCGGGCCAGCACCCAGCGCAGGCGCACCCGACGTGCCAAACTGGACTGGCAGGGAGACCCTGCCGGTGACGCTGGCCTCGGTGATCGCCTCCCTGCAGAGGGCGGGAGAGCAGCGGGCACACGGCGGTGCATTGCGCAGCGCTCTCCAGTGGCTCATGTGCATGGCTGAGCTGGCTCGGCAGGGCAGGGGCGCACCAGGGAAAGCACCCGCGGCCCAGCGGCCGCGAGGGCAAGCACCCACCTGGCCACCAGCGCCTCGCCGCTGTCAGACGTGATGCGCATGTCGAGCGGGGTGTCGGGCAGGCCGCTGCGGGGCAGGGGCAGGGCATGGAGGGCTCCTCCAACGGATGAGCGACGGCGGCAGCAGGAATGCGCACAGGCGTGGGCCGCTGGCAGGCTGCGGCTGGTCTCCCCGCTTCCAGCCTTCCCCCCGCTGCCCCTGCCCCGGCCACCCACCTCAGCTCCCACTTGGCTCCCCAGCTGTTGCTCATCTTGGCCCAGGTGGTGCCAGCAAGGCTCAGGCGGTCGCCCTGCGGGGGTGCGCAGCATGGAGGGGCAGGCAGGCAGTCAAGCAGGTGGATCGCCACGCGGCTGCGGGCGGCGGAGATGTGGGTGGCAGGTAGAGGCGCAGGCGGGTCGCAGGCCCTCCCAGCCCTCCCTGCCAGCCAGCCGGCGGGCCGCTCTCACCGCGAGGGGAGACTTGCGCAGCTCCACGCTGCGGATGGCGCCAGAGCCGGCCACATTCTCCAGCGACAGCCGCAGGTAGCCGCCGGCTGCGGCAGCGGCAGCAGGAGGATGGACGAGGCGGGCGCGCAGGGCATCAGAAGCAGGGGCGCTGGCGAGATGTGTGTGGATGGGTGGTTCGCCTCGGTGCCGTGCACGGCGCACAGCTGCAACCTCCCTTCTGCTCTGCCGGGCACGCGCCCCCGCCCTTCCCACCTGCGGCGCGGTAGGTGTCGATGTCGACGGCGATGCCGCCGGGCACGGGGCACTCCACCTGGCGCCAGCGGATGCCCACCTCGCCTTGGTCCGGGCTGGCCAGCTTCTGCTGGAAGGCCAGGTAGTGCAGGGTGACCTGCTGGGGGTGGGTGGGCAGAGGGAGAGAGTGGGCAGGTAAAGGGGGGCAAAAGGGTGGTGAGCGGGTGGTGCCTGCTGCCCTCCCCGCGCCCGGGCGCCAAGGCCGCGCGCTTGCCTTGCTGGGGCCGCAGTCGCCGCAGGTGTCGGTGACGAGGGCCACCAGGCTGGTCGCGTTGGCGCTGTCGGGGCAGCGGGCCTGCGGCGGCGCAGGCGGCGGGCGGGGCAGGGAGCGGTGGTGAGAGGGGCGGCGAGCGGATGATTGCCACGCCCCTCGGCAGCATGGAGGCATCCGGCAGATGGCGCTCCTGCCTTGCCCGCGACTTGCGTTTGAACGCACCTCGCTCCCGGGGCGCGCGTCGCACTGGACCTCGATGCACGCGCCGCAGCCCAGCAGCGGGCTGCGGCCGGCCGTGGCGGCGATCGGATGGGTCGGGGCCACCGCCACCGCCGACCAGTATGGCCACTCCTGAGGCCCCAGCTCGCCATAGCCTGCATGAGAAGGGGGCAAGAAGCAGATGCACATGAGGCGTGCGAGGCGGCTAGCGGGGGAGGCTGCCAAGCGGCTGCGCAAGGGCCACAGGCGGCGGCCGCGGCCGCTCCCGCCCCTTGCCCCGCCTGGCCCAGCGCACCGCAGCTGCCCTCCAGCAGGCCTCCAGAGGCGACGTGAGGGTCCTTGCCATCCTGGGGCCCGCCGTAGGGGACAGCCACGCCTGCTACCCAGTCGCCCCCTTGCAGGGGCCCGCCTGCGCAGCTCCCCGCGCTCAGCAGCAGCAGCAGGGCAGCCAGGGCGGCTGGCAGGCAGGCAGGGCGCCTCATTCCGTGTCTTGGGCAGCGCTCGCTGGGTCTGACAGAGCGAGGCGGTGATCGTGCAGGCCTCGTTGTGCGTCTGCGAGCTCAGAGAGACCCGTGAAAAGACCGGGGAATAGCTTTCAGCGAAAGGGGTGGGCTGGTGCTAGAGGCGCTGCTCCACAACAGCCTGTATTGCCCTGCATGGGACCTGCGATTTGAACGCCACCTTTCCATGCAAGGGCTTGCGAGGTACATGATTGGGGAATACACGTCTAAATGAAACAACGGCACTCAAGTACGCTGAACTCAGGCAGGGAAAGCGGGTTGTGCAGCGGCGCGACAGCTGCCCCCGCCGAGCGCCGACAGCCTGCCGCCATATCCAAAGCAAAGCATGGCAGAATACAACTAATGACACATCTGCGAGAGGAGGGCATCAGCCCTCGTGGTACAGCATCTTGAGCAGAAGGTGCAGCGCCTCTGCCGCATGCCCGCTGTACCCCAGCCGCTCAAACAGCTGGCCGCTGAAGGCCGCCAGCGTGCCGCCGGCGCTGCCGCCGTCTGCGTCCACGGCCGCCCTGGCCAGCGCATGCAGCTCCTGGAACAGCGCCTCCGAGCCTAGCAGGGCCACGCAGCGCTGCCTGAGCCGCAGCAGCGCGGCCTGCTTGCCGTCACGGTCTTGCTGCGCCTGGGACTCGGCTGCCAGCTCGTTGCTGCCAGCCGCCACGCCTGCCGCGCCTCCCTCGCCGCCGCCGCCACCATCGCCGCCCGGCTTGCGCAGCGCCAGCAGGCTGCTGTCAGACTTGGCGCTGCGCTGCACCTCGGCGCTGCTCTCGCCGCCGCCGCCGGCGCTGCCGCGCTGCTGCGCCGCCAGCCACTGCCGCGCGGCGCCGCTCATCTGCTCCAGGTGCTGCTGGACGCTGAAGTGGGATTGGCGGCGTGGGGGCGAGGCGGGCGCAGCCGCGCCGCCACTGCATGCCGGGCTGCCGCCAGCGCCGGCGGCAGTTTGCGTGGCCGGGGCAGCGGCAGCCAGCGCGGGTTGCTCAGCAGCCGGCTGCACGTGTGCGGGTGCTGCCTTTGGGACTGCTGCTGGTGGTGCGGCGGGGCTGCCCTGCCTGGCGGCATCGCTCTGCACCGTGCGCCGCCTCAGCGGTACGGCGCTCGGCGGCAGCGGCGGCTTGCGCCGCTCGCCCACGGCAGGCGCGCGCTCAGGGAGAGCCTGAGGCTGGGGCCTGGCAGCCGCCGGCGGCGCCGCCGCAGCCTCCGCCAGCGCCGCGCTCCCCCTGCTGACCCTGCGCTGCGCGACGGGCGCCGCCGCCGCCGCCGCCTGCTCCTCTGGCGGCGGCGTGCCGGGGCAGGTGGCGCGCCGCAGCGAGGCCTGTGCCTGCAGCGTGCGCGGCGGCGTGCGCCGCCGCTCCACGCCGCCATCCGCCGCAGCGGCAGCCCCAACCCCCGCGGGCAGCTCTATGCCCAGCTCCGCCGCCCTGGCACGCACGGCGGGGAGGCCCAGCAGTGTGTCGGCGCTGGGTCGGCGAGCCGCCGCCTGGCTGAGGAGGCGGTGGATGATGGCGGTGAGGTCTGCGCTCAGGCCCACCACAGGCTCGTAGCGGCCCCGCAGAATCTTCATGATCAGGCTGGCCTGCGGGCAGGCGCGCGGCACGCGGCAGAGTTATGCGTGTGGAGTTTGCGGGGAGGGGGAGCCGTGCAGGCAGGGGATGCACATGGGCGTGGCAGGGTAGGCGGCCAGCTGTGCCAGGCTGGGCAACACATAACCACTCATGAGAACACAAGCAACGCACAGCGTCCACAATGCTGTGCCACCTGCCCCACGCCCACCTGCGACCTGCCGTCAAAGGGCTGCCTCAGCGTGGCGCACTCGTACAGCACCACGCCCAGCGCCCACATGTCACTGGGGGGGCCGTAGGGCAGCTCCTGCAGGCACATGGGTGGGCGGGCCGGCGGACCGGCGGCAGGGCGGCTCAGCTGTCGGCACCTGGTGTGCAGCAGACTGTCTGTTTCTGGCCCCGGGCGCAGATGCTCTCGCTCTCACGGCGTCACATGCATGAGACGTCCTTGCGCTGCCCCAGCCAGGCGCGGGGAAGCTCCTCGGCCCCCCCACCTGCGCCAGCTCGGGGCTGAGGTAGTAGGGCGTGCCGATGAGGGTGCTGGCGTGGCTGCGCCCCTCCTCCAGCACCTGCAGCGCGGGGCGGCGGGAGATGCGGCGTGAGGTGGGCGGCGCGGATGCCCGCCGCCGCCTGCCTGTGGCTGGCAGCCCCCTGCCATGCAGCTGCATGCTGAAAAACCAGTGCAGCTGCACAGCATGCACACGCATGCAGATTGCAGGCGTGCACAAGCGGAAGGAAAGGCGTCGAGGCAGGCGTTGGCCAACCAGGATGTTGAACCAGGCTGTTGGCTGCCCCACCCACCTTGCTGACACCCACATCCCCCAGCTTGAACCGCTGCTGCTGCTGGCCGCCCTGCTGGTCCAGGGGCGTGCTCAGAAAGATGTTCATCGTCTTCACGTCACGGTGAAGCATGCGCCTGCGCCAGGCGGGCAGCAGCAAGCAGCAGGCTTGAGGCATGGAGCGCAGAGCGGGTGGTGGGCGTGGACGGCGGCATGACAGGCACAGGAGGCGGGAGGGCACCACAGCACCTGCCGGCACGGCAGCGCCCGCCCCTTCACCTGCTGTGCATGTGGTGCAGGGCCAGGGCGGTGTGCAGCAGCACACGCCAGATGGCGTCCTCGGGGAGCGGGCGCCGCGCGCGGCGGATGGCGGCGTGCAGGCTGCCGCCGCCGCACAGCTCCTGCACGATGTGCAGCTGGCCGCCGTGCAGGTAGGAGTCGTAGTACTTGACGATGTGGGGGCTGTCCAGGCTGGAAAGGACCTGCGGGAGGAGGCAGGGGGAGAGCTCGGCGCCGGCGGTGGTGGTGGTGGTGATGAGGGTGTTGAGCAGCTGTGGGAGCCTGCCTCTGCTGGGCAGAGCGCAGTGAGCCAGGCGAGGGAACAAGCGCAGCCAGACAGGCATGGGAGCAATATGGCAGCGTGCCGGCAGGCGGCTGGCGTCCCTCGCCCAGGCGCGCTCGCCTGCGCCTCGGCCACCGCCGCCAGCTGGTCCCTGCGGCTCAGCCCCTGCAGCTCCACAGCCTTGACCGCATACAGCTGTCCGTCCTGCTGGCGGCGGGCCACGTAGACCGTGCCCCAGGCACCCCGGCCCAGCTCTCGCAGGAAGGCAAAGTCGGCGCAGCGGCTCCGCTGCTGCTCGGCGGCGGCAGCGGCGGCGGCTTGCTCGGCATCGGCGCGGCCGCTCTGTTGCGCCTGCACTGAGCCGGGCTGCTCCTCCCCGGACACGGCGGGCATCGGTGAGGGGTGCGCGGTGGAGTGAAACGCAGGATGGGATGGCGGGCTCAAAACCCCAAGGGTGACCTTGGGCAGTCGGAGCGCGTAAAGACTTCGGAACAAGGTGCATGGAGGCTGCGGCAAGCAAGAAGAGGGCAGCCGCGTCCGGTTGGAGCACAGCACGGCGGGACCGACCACAGCGCGGCGGGACCCTGCCGCCAACGGGCGCCAGCATGGCAGACTCTCCTGTCTCACACCTGGTGATGCGAGCTTACTTACAGGGGTTCATGCAGGCCCTCGGACTTGGTACCGTGAAGTGCAGTAGCATTCGGGGGTCAGCACACTATCGGTGAAGCAGGTCAGCATGCAGAGTGGGGCAACGCAGCCAGATGGAGGGCAGCTGTCGAGGCATGCAGTGAGGTTCGTGACAGTGCAAGTGCACGGAGGTTCAAGGGCTGTCACATACGAAATGCAGCAGACTGGCACGAAAGCGAAATCGCAAAGCAAGCAGCGAATGGGGCGCTGCTCATCACGGCTCGGTGCTGGCGCCAGTCTCGGTCGGTGCGGTGCCCCCGGTGGTGTCCTCTGTTGGTGCGGTGGTTTCGGTGCCCTCGGCAGGAGCGGTGGTGCTGGCGGGAGCAGTGGCGGTGGTGGTGGGAGCAGTGGCGGTGGTGGTGGGCGCTGTGGTGGTGGCGGGGGGGTGCGGCGGCGGCCGCGCCCCGTCAGGACGCTGGGGTCCAGCAGCAGCGAGGTGTCCACGCCGGCGGTGTCGGTCAGCAGGGCGGGGTTGGCCGTGGACTGGCCTCCTGGGACACAGTAACCTTGGCCGATGAGGGCGCCGATCTGAACGCAGGCATCCACTGTCGCCAGCACCTGCAGAGGGAGGCACACGGGAAAGGAGTATCAGGTTGTGGGAGCGGGAAGCCAGCTGGGGAGTGAAAGCCATGCCAGGTCGACTCTCTTTCCATCTGCCTGAGAGGTGGCAACTGGCTGTGGCAGCGGTCATCAGCCCCGCGGATGGCCCTGCCCACACCTGGATGCAGCCGACGTTGACAAACACGCCCTGCATGTTGACCAGCCCTTCCTGACGCGTGTTGCCCCGCTGCTGGTTGGGGCGCTCCTGGTTGCACTGGGCACGCTGCCCGTCGCCGTTGTCGATCAGGCAGCACACAGCCTCGGTCTGAAGCAGCTTGCGGCCTGCGGGCAGAGGGGCGGCACGAGCGGCAGCATGAGCGCATGAGCGCTGCGCGCGGGCCAGGGCAGCATGCTGAGGAGGAGGCTGGACTTTGGCAGGGGGTGACGCTGCTGGCGGCTGAGCAGGGTGGGCGTGTGCTCACTGTAAGACGAGGTAGCCCTGTAGGAGAAGAGGGAAAGCAAGATGTGCAAAGGGGCGTGAAGCCGCTGGGCAGGCGGCCAAGATGCCTCCCCGACTCCCTCCGCCGCCGCCGCCGCCGCTGCTATGCACGTTCAGACGCACGCCAGCCCGTTCAGACGCCCCGCCAGGCCCGCCTGCGCCCAGGCAACTCACCTCGCGCCCATTCCAGAGCCCACGGCCAGCAGGGCGACCAGCAGGAGGAGGGAGCGGCACACCATCGTGGCTGAGGGGTGGCTGTGAGCAGGCACTGGCGCGAGAAGGGCTGCCCGAGGTGCGTATGACTGTGAAGTCAGCCAGGGGAGCTCATCAGCAAAGTTGTTTCTGGCAGTTGTGCTCCCGCTTCGCACGGTACCACCCTCTCGCCTGCCCGGCACTCTCGCGCAGCCGGCGTGCGCTTAACCACTTCAAAAGTGTTAAGGCAGCACAGAGGCAAGTTTGGTCAAACTCAAGCAGCTTCGCGCTCAGCCGCCAGCGGGCTCAACCGCCGCCCCGCTTCTTCCGCGCAACCGCCGCCGCCGCCGCCGCCTCCCTGCCCAGCACCTCCCTCCACTGCGACCCGCCCACCTCCTCCAGCCCCCTGTTGAATGTGTTCACCTCCAGCAGTATGAGCTCGTAGTCCTCCTGGGAGGTGGGGGCCCCCTTGCGACCCACACGCGCCGATGGCGTGCGCCAGCCGGGGTGCCACGGCGGCGGCAGCGGCACCGGGGGCGCCTGCAGGGGGGACGGGGTGCAGGCACCAGGTGGCAGCAGCGCAGGTGCAGGGCGCGCACCCACCAGCAGCACTCGGCGCAGGGAGCGCAGGGAGCACGGCTTGCGCAGCAGCGGCTGCGGCAAGCAGCGGCGGCTTCAGAGCGGTGGCTTCTCTCTGCCTCCCCAGCCCCCACCGTGTCCTCGAACCGCTGCTGCGTCCAGTCCCGCTTCTCAAAGCGCCAGAACTCGGTGTCGTTCCCCCCCTCCTTCAGCTTGGGGCCCCAGGTGTAGTGGATCTGCGGTACAGCATGGTTGTACTGCTCAGGCTGGGGCCCAGGTCAGATAGAGGGTCTGCGGCGCCGCGGGGGTTGGAGGCAGGAGACGGCCCGGCCAGGGCACAGAAGAGCGGCAGCGGCAGAAGAGCTGCGCGCGGCGGCGCCGCCGGGGGGGCGTGCCAGGGCAGCGGGGGGCAGCTCGCCGGGCGCGGCACAGGCGGGCGGGGTTGGGAGGTGGGGGGCGGCTGGGGGGCAAGGGGCTGGGGTCCGGCAGCAGAGGCCAGGGCGGCGCGAGCAGCCGGGCGGCTCTGGAGCAGCGCAGGCGGCTCTGTGGCAGCGCAGGCGGCGCCCCCCACCTGCGTGGCCCTGCCCAGGCGCAGGTCCACTGGCGGCTGAATGATGAGGGTGCTGTTGCCGCTCTGCCCCAGATCCAGATCCAGCCGCTCCACCGCCACCGCCAGCGAGAAGGCATACATCTCCCGCACCCAGCCCAGCCGCTTGGAGGCCTCCGCGTCCGCCTCTATCTGCGCCGCCGGCAGGCAGCCGGGCAGAGGAGCGTGTGGCGGGTGAGTGTGTGCAGACGGGCGGGCAAAGAGGTGGCATGCGGCGGCAGGAAGGCGGCTGGGCAAACAGGTCAGGGGGGGCGGCAGCTGGGGAGGGCGGATGCAAGGAACGGACCGCGCAGGCCACGCCGGCAGGCCGCGAGGTGCGGCGGCTGGCTGGCTGAAGGAGGGTTCTGGCCCGCTGCCGCCGGCAGGCGCCGCCGCACCTGTGCTGAGTAAGCTTCCCAGCGGGGCAGCACCCGCAGCCACTCGGCCACACGAGCCATCACAGGTGAGGGCCCCGTGCGCGGCACCTCCGACAGCGGGCCCAGGCCCGGCGGGTAGAAGCGCGGCATGAAGCTCTGCGGGCGGGCGGGCGAGGGGGTGGGCGGCGGGCGGCGCAGGCGGCTCGGGGAGGGGCGCCCGCTCGCCTTCAGCGAATGCGCCGCGCCGCCCCGACCGCACCCCTCCACCCCTCCACACATGTGTGTGTGGCAACACCACAGCCTCGCCACCTCCCACCCACACTCTCGCCCAGCCACCCAGCCACCAGCCACCACCCACCTTGAAAACCTTGGCGTCTGCATACACGTACGAGTACCAGAAGCCCAGGGAGCGAACCGACGACTCCGCAGGGCCCGGCGCCAGCACTGGCTTCACAAACAGGAAGTCGGTCTCTATGAGGTACGCCCAGGCGCCCTGCGGTACCATGGAGGTGGTACAGTGGCAGTGGCAGTACAGCGGTACGGCAGCGGTGGGCAGGGGGCCGGCTGCCGGCCGGGCTGCGAGGCATGCCGGCGCGGGGCGTGCAGGGGCTCGAGGGCGGGCTGGAAAGCACGGCCAGCCCAGCTCACTCCAGCAGCTGCCCCAACCGGGGAAAGGCCTGCAAGCGGCCTTGCACCCCGCACCTTGATCAGCGTCGGGTCCAGCTGGGCTGCCTGAAAGAACTGGCGCACCGCGCCGGGGCGGTCCGCCACGACATACCGGCACCGCCCTGACCTCCCTGGCACGCCGCCGTCGCACCCTGCGACAGCGTGGGCGCGCCCGGCGGGTGGGCACCAGCCGGGAGGCGCGCAGCACTCAGCGCTGGGCCCACCACACGCAGCAGAAGCCGGCACCCGCTGGCCGGGCGCTTGGCCGGCAGCAAGCAAGCAGGCAGCAGGCGGCAGGCAACCCCAGGCCCGCCCGCCATCGCCGCCCCGTCCGTGCTCCCGCCCCGGCGCCAGCCCACGCAGCGCACCCGGGTGCAGCGGGTCTGCTCGGAAGGTGGGCACGCAGGGCGACAGCGCATCGTCTGTTGTGCGGTGCAGGATGCGGGTGAAGGCGACCATCTTGTCCCCGCCGGGACGCATGCGCTGGGCCAGGCGGTACGTGCCGTACAGCGCCAGAGTCTGCGGTACGGCCAGAGCGGCAGCAGGACGAGGGGGCAGGCGCAGTGTGTGAGAGGGTGGTGCTGGTGGTGGTGGTGGTGGTGTGGGGGTTGGGGTGAAGGTTGATAGGGAGGCGCGCTGGCGAGGCCGTCCACAGCGCCGCCGGTGCCGCGCCGGCCCCGGCTGCTGCTGGTGGCCAGCGATGCCAGCGCCCTGGCGGTGCCTTGCCTGGTAGTTGACATAGGGGCTGCCGTTGGATGTGAACAGCACGTGCACGGTGTCCCCAGTCACTGGCCACCCTCCGCCGCTGCTGAGCCGCGTCACGTGTGCCTGCATTGTTGCTGGGGAGGGCGACAGGTAAGGCTCACGCGAGCAGCCCCAATGGTGGCGTCCATAGCCGCAGCCACAGCCAGCCAGCAAGCAGGGGGAGCCAGCAGGGCCGCCTGTGCTGGCGACTGACGCACCGAGCAGGCCCCGGCTCCAACGCGCAGCCACAGCCACAGCAGCGCTGCCGGCAGCGAGGAGGCCAGCAGCAGTGGCAGCAGGCGCGAGTGTGCCTGGTGCGGCTTGGTGCCATCTGCAGGGCAGCGGTCACAGGCGGGGCAGCGATGGCGCCGCTGGCCGCAGGGTGAGGCAGCCGCTCCGGCAGGCAGCCAGCTTTGACAGGCGAGGCGCAAGCAGCGCCCAGCGTCCCCCCGCCACCCAAGCCGGCAGCGTACCGACCTGGTCGGTGGACCATGGCTTAATTAGCCACAGGCCGCACCCATGTAACAAACTGGACCTCTGTCGCGCTGGCCGGCATCACAGGCACGGGGGCACCCCGCAGGGCGCAGTCCTCCGGCGTTCAGCGAAGCGCTGCCAGTCCACTCTGGTAAGAGTGAGAGTTGAGAGGGACGCCGCAGCTCCTGCATAACCAGCAGCAGCAAGTGCATGGGCCTTCAGGCAAGGCTGCAAGACGGGCTGCCACTGCTAGAACAAGTGCCAGCGCGGCAGTGGCGGGGCAGCCACATCTGCCGCCAAGACACGCGCAGCTGGGCGCATCCACAGCGGCAACGATCGCACCGAGATCTCTGGGTCTGAGACAAGTGGACGGGGGGCACAGCCAGGCGTCAGAGGCCGTGCAAGAAAATGTGGCGCTGCGGCAAGTCAGTATGCTCCGGCTTTAGGAGCGGTTAGGTGTGCAGGAGTTGCGCGATGGCTGGGGTACATCTCATAACGCGCCCTCCAAAGGGTGGAGATCTCACAGGCACAGCGGTACACAACTGCCGGCCGCCAGTACAGATGCCGTTCCAGCTTTGCTGCTGCTCATTTTTCGGTTGCAATTTGGCAGTGGTGAATAGAAAAGCCCAAGGGTTGCAAAGAAGAGTGGCAGCACAGCTGGTAGCGCATTCAAGAGTGCAAAACAAATGCAAAATGCGGCGCAGGAAAAAAGCGACGCGGGTCAGCAAAATTGGTTGGGGCGCAGCCAGCAGGAGCGGCAGGTGCGGCGCCAACAGAAAAGGAACTGGCAAGAAATATGTAATCATCATGTTTTTTTATCCAGCGATTGATAGACAGCTTGCACCAGCTTGCTGAATCACCACCCCAGCTTCAGAGTACCGAGCGCATAGCGCAGCTGCTCCCGGCCGAGAGCCGGGTCAGGCGGCGGCAGGGCTCACGCTGGCCGGGGCGCCCGCGGCGCCAGCGCCGGCCGGATCCGCCGCGGCTGCCTGGGCCTGGCGCGCCGCCGCCGCCGCCGCCGCCGCGTGCGCCTGCATGGCTGCTGCCATGGCGGGGGTCAGCACGACGGGCGCTGCCATCATCGGCACCATGCAGGCCATGCCTGGGTGCGCAAAGGGGAAGCAGGGGACTTGCAACATGCCCGCAGCCTGCTGCTGCCGCATGGCCGCCGCCACAGCCGGCGGCATGGCGGCCAGGGGCACCAACTGCGGCATGCCCACCCCCATGCCCATCAGCTGCATCATCTGCGCCTGGTGCTGCCGCTGGGCAGCCAGCAGCAGCTGCTGCTGCTGCGCGCTCAGCTGCTGCGCCTCAAGTGGGGAGTCGGCGCGCCGCCGCCTGCGCTTCTTGCGCACAGGCGGATGGACCTCGCCCAGCACCGCCACAGCAGCAGCCCTCTGCTCCTGCGCCCCCTCCACCCCGCCCTCCTCCTCGAGCCGCTGCTTGCCGCGCAGGCTGCCCGCCTCCCCACCGCCGCCGCTGCTGCCCCGCGGGCCGGCGACAGCGGTGCCTGGGACTGCGGGCTTGCCGCCGGCCCTGCTGCTGCTGGAGCTGCCGGTAGGCCCGTGCGTGGAGCCGTCGGCGGCGGCGGCAGCAGCTGCGGCCTGCGGCTCAGCCCGGGGTGCCGCTGCGGCTGTGCCCAGAGCAGGGCCAAGGTTGGCAGAGGCTTCTGCTGCCTGCACACCCGCTGAAACGCTGGCGCCCCCCACAGGCGACGCATGCTCGGCCTCCTGCTTCACGCCGCCGCCCGTGCCGCTGCCGGCGCCAGACGGCTCCTGCTGCTGCTCCTCCTGCTGCTCCTGGCGCTGCTGGCCATCCTGCTGCTGCTGCTGCTGCTGCTGCTGGTGCTGTTCGGCAGAAGGGGCCCCACCGCCGCTGTTGGAAGCGCCAGAGCCGGAGCCGGCGGCGGCGGCGGCGGCAGAGTGGCTGCTGAGGTCTGCCGAGCCGCGGGCCGCCAGGTCAGCAAAGTCGGCCAGCAGCTCCAGCTCCTCGGGGCTGCGGGTGGCGCCAGGCAGGACAAGTGTGTATGATGAGCGGCGGGGGCGGCTGGATGGGGTGGCATGGGGCTGTGCATGGCGTGGGGCCGTGTCGGCGCATAAGCGTGCACCCAGGGGCAGGCAGGGGAGCAGGCGGAGGGAGGGCAAGCGCGGTTCCTGGCACTCGTGGTGCCTCCACGGCAGGCGCGCACCTGGGGTTGCAGGCGTCGTCATCATCGACCACAGCGTGCAGAGCGCCGCCACGCTGGCAGTCGAGGTCCAGCATCGCTGCTTGCTCCTCCTGCTCCTCCTCCCCCTCCTCCTCCTCCTCCTCGCTATTGCCCGCACCCCAGGCCAGCGGGCGCCCCGCGGCGCGCCCGCGGCCGCCCAGCGGCAGCGGCACGGCCGCGCCGGCGTCGCGCGGCGCGTGCAGGCCCGCGGCGCGGAGCCCCGCCGCCGCCGCCTGCAGCTCGCAGTACGCCTGCCCCGCCTCGGGGCAGCGGAAGGTGGCGCTGGTGGCGTCGGGCCGCCGCGGCCGGCCGTCGGGGAGCACATAGGTGAGATTGAGCAGGCCGCCCACCGATCCAAACGACTCCACATCCGCCATGGGGACGCACACCCAGCTGCGGCGGAGGTGGTGCGCAGGGTAGCGAAGCAAGGGTGATCAGGAGTGTGGGTGGGAGGGGTGGCAAGGGTTTGGGCTCGGCCCAGGCAGGGGAGCAGCGGCACGCAACCTGTGCCTCCCGCTTCCGTCTCCCACTGTTGACTGGGGCACACCGACCTGCCGCGGTAGAAGTGGACGCCGCGGGCGTTGATGCACAGCTGCGCGGCCTGGTGCGGCCGCCACGACGCCGCGTCAGCGACGCTGTACCGCCGTCCCGCGCCCTCTGCGCCGGCGCAGCCAGGGGGCGGGCACCGCTCAGGGCGCGCGTGGCTGGTGTGGAGGCTGGCGACATGCGGGGTCGGTGTGGCAAGCTTAGTTTGCGTTTGGACGGGCTGCGCAGCGAATCGAGCGGGCGGCTCACCAAAGGGGATGAGCTGGCGCAGCGTGCCCGCCGTCGCCAGCTCAGCCAGCCGGCCCTTGACGGCCTCCCAGTCGGGCAGCGCCCCAAACTCCTCAAGCAGGCGGCGAGGGTACCAGGCCACTGCGGGCGCGAGGGTGGGGAGGGAAGGAGGGAGGGTGGGAGGATGGGGAGGAGGGCCGGGGCGTGGATGAAGGCAGGAGGGGAGGGAGGGAGGGAACAGGGACGAGCCCGATGCAGCGGCAGGCGTGCAGGCGAGGGGAGGGGGCCGCCGAGGCAGCGCGAGACGGTGGTCACGGCCAGGCTTGTGGCAGGCGGGGCGCGCTCACGTGGGAAGTTGTAGCGGGTGCAGGCCCGCGGGTTGTTGCCCTTGGCCCGGTGGCTCCAAAAGCCGGCCAGGTCGTAGGCGACAGCCGCCTCCGCCTGGCTGCACCGCAGCGCCAGCGCGTGGCGCTTGCCCCGGATCTGCAGGCGGTGGTGGGGGGCGGGTGTGGGGGCAGCGGGACCAGGGGAGGGTCACGGGTGTGCATACCGAGGGTTTGGGGCTTGCCGCGCTAGGCGCAGCCCAGCCTGCAGAGCCCGCGCCTGCTCGAACCTGGAAAGCCATGCTCCAGAGGTGCTTGCGGGCGCCAGACTGGATGCCCTTGGCCCACCGCACCTCGCCGCCGCCAGGTGCAGCGGGGCTGGCTGCGTCGGCATGCACTCCCATCTGCAAACACAGGGGGCATCCAGGAAATTGATGGACAGGACGCGGGACACAAGCAGGGCAGTGGCTGGCGCCGAGCCGCCGCCGCCGGGCGGTGATGGTAAAGGTGATGGTCGCCGACCTGGCTCCCTCTTTCACGGGGCTGCCGGCGCTGTGGCCAACTGAAGGCCCCAAGTCGGCTGTTCTAAGAGTGCGCACGGACTGTCTAGTCGGGCATGCTTGCCTTTGCAAGTGCGGTGAGCCGAGATTGATGTTGTGGCCTCGGTTGCCTGGTCGGCGACGTGTGGGCTGCCGATAGGACGTATCTTGTATCGTGGGCTAGTGACAGAGCTCCGGCACAGTGCACCCCAGGCCAGACAGAATACGGAACGGAGCCGCTCAGGGCCTGCAACCTGATCCACACCGCCTATGGCGGTCCCTCCAGAAGCAGAAAGGGCCTGATGCTGCGGAAGGCCACGAGTACATCACCATGTTTTGCGTGCGGTGCAGTGCCACATCACCGGTGAGCAATTGCTCTGAAACACTCTGAAACACAGACATATCATCGCCCCATCACAGACAGACTCCGCAAGGCTTGGCGCCCCGAGGTTCCCTGCTGCCCCATCTAATTTGCAGCTGCTTTGGAACCTCGCAGCATGGCCACCCTGCGTGCAGTGGCCCCAGCGGCCCCACTGATGGGCGCCGCACGCCGCGCCGCGCCCTTTCAGCGCTGCCGCCTCGCGGCGCCGGCTCCCGCCCGGCGACTGGCAGCGGCGCGCCCTGCTCATGCCTCGGCGCCCCAGCAGCCTTCCCAACCATGCACGCCGAGCCAGGCTGAGCCTGCCGGCCCAGCAACCCTACCCGCACTTCTCGGGAGGGTCGTGAGCCCTGCCATGCTCCGCAGCCTGATGTTGTGCGGCGCCGCGCTGGCGGTGGCAGGCGCGCTGCCTGCTGCGGCTCGAGCCGCCGCCGACGCTGCCGCGGGCGGCGGCGGCGGCCCGGCGGCCCTTGCGAAATGTGAGCTGTGCCGCCAGCCAGCACAGCCTGCGTGCGCCCTGCATGTTTACCGCACGCACCTGAGCTGAGCTCAGCTTTCTCGAGCCATGCCCTGCCTCCCTCTCCCTTTGCCCCGTTGATCCCTGGACACCTCCACCCGCGGCCACTGTCTTGCTGTGCAGCCGCCCTGAGCTTCATCCTGCACCTGGACGTCCACTTGGGCGACATTGTGGTAAAGTACGGGCGGCTCACCTACGCCATCCTCTTTGGCATCGTGTTTGCCGAGACAGGTGGGCGCTGCCGCCACTGGACCGGCGTGTCGCGCCCTCCCTGCCGAGAAGGGACAGGGCCGTCAGCCTGCGCGGCGCTGAAGGGCTTGCTGTGCCGAGCCAGGGGCCGAGTGCTGCGCCCAGCACCCTCCATGCACACGCTCCCCGGCCCTCCACCTGCTGCCGCAGGCCTGGTGGTGACGCCCTTCCTGCCCGGCGACTCGCTGCTGTTTGCCACGGGGGCGCTGGCGGCGCTGGGCAAGCTCAACCTGGGCGCCCTGGTGGGCTGCTACATCGTGGCGGCCACCCTGGGGGACGCAGTCAACTACGCTGGTGAGCGCCTCTCCAGCTGGCCCGCCCCCTGGTGCCATGAAAGCTATGCCTGGCTTGCCGCAGTGCTGGGCAGCTGCGGAGGCTCTGCCCTCCCCCCACTCCCACCCACTCCCTGCACACCACCCCGTCCTCCGTCATGCTGCCTTCTACTCACGCACAGAAGCACTGCCCCTCCCCTGCCCCCACCCAACCGCAGTCGGCAACTACCTGGGCGCCGCCGCCTTCAAGTCCAAGCTGCTCAAGCGGGAGCACATCGCCAAGACCGAGGAGTTCTACACCAAGTATGGCGGCAAGACGGGTGCGTGGGCAGCTGGCAACGGGCTGCTGGGGGCGGCCTCGGGCTGAGCTGGCGCTCCCTGCTGTTCGCCATCACACGCCCACCCACAACCCGCCTCCACCACCTGCCTCGTGCACCCCCCGGCCTGCTCAACCCACCCATGCCTCCTCCTGCACTCGCCTCCCGGGCCCTCGCCCGACGTGCGGCGCCGGCCCTCACCGGCGCCTGCGCCCTCCCTCCCCCTGCTGCGCTGCCGCCCTGCAGTCGTTCTGGCCCGCTTTGTGCCCATCGTGCGCACCTTTGCGCCCTTTGTGGCGGGCGTGGGCTCGATGTCGTATGCACAGTTTGGGCTGTACAATGTGGTGGGGGCGGTACTTTGGACCGCCATATGCGTGGGTGAGCCGCTCCCGGATGAGCCGCAGCTGTGTGGCCCGCCAGCCTGGTCGCAGGCTGATGGCAGTGTGCGCTGTTGGTATCAGAAGAAGCAGCAGCGGCGTGCCGGTCCCCCGCTGATTGCCTGGCCCTGCCCACCGCCTGCAGGCGCCGGCTTTGCCTTTGGCAACGTGCCCGCGGTGCACGAGAATTTCAGCCTGGTGGTGCTGGGCATTGTGGTGGTTTCCCTGCTGCCCATCGCGTGGGAGATGTGGGCGGCGCGCAGCCAGGCAGCCGCCGCCGCGGACGGCGACCAGGCGGCCGCGGCCGCGGCCGCCGCTGCGGCTGCCGCCACCACGCCGCCCGCGGCGGCGGCGGCCGTGGCCGCGGCCGCGCCGCCGCGCCAGCGCTCGCCCGCGGTGGAGGAGGCGGCGGCAGAGGCGGTTGAGAAGGCAAAGGAGAAGGTGCAGCAGAGCGCGGCGTTCGCCGACCCTCTGGAGGAGGCGCGGGTGCGGGATGTGTGCGAGGAAGACCCTGGGGCAGACCAGTGCCGCGTGTACGACGACTGATGCCCTGCACCACCAGCGGCAGCCGGAGTGGCGGCCTGCTTCCGGCCTATGCAGCGTGCCTTGCCCGCGCCAGCGCCCTGTATGCGTGGTGCGGCTCATGGTTCTTTCTTTGTTGCGCCCTTCCGAGAACTGCCAGTTGTGGTTGTCGACTCCCATTTCATGCCGAGGGCCTGCTGCTCCAGCCCTCCTCCATCTATCCTTCGCTTGTAAGAACATGACACATGGCGGCAGAGCTGGCACTTCCAGCACCGCTCAGGTGGATGCAAGCTGTTTCACGTGCGGTGGGAGGAGGGACAGGCAGCGGGCGTGCCTCCTAATCTTCCAGCACCATTGAGAGCAGGCAAAGACGGGAAGTGCTGTGACCCCACAAAGCCGCCAGAACCCACTGGTCCAGCCACTCGGGCGTGTGGAAGCGGCTGAGCAGGAAGCCGGCTGTGCGCCAGGGGCGAAACCTGTCCCGCGGGCCACAGCTCCCCAGGAAGGCAGGGCCGGCGATGTGGCCGAGCCTGCCTCGGGTATGGCTATACGTCATGTCTAGGATCTGGAACTGCTGAACCTCGATGGCGGGAGGATTACACCCCCCCAGGCTGGAGAATTACAGCGCCCCGCCGCCACTTCACTCGCCACAAACTTACAATCTACTTGCCCGCAGGCCTGGGACAATGAAACCCGCGCGGCCCCCCTCAGCAGCCCAGGCCAAAGCACCGGTTCCTGATCCACTTGGTCATCGCCCACTTGGTCCCGGCCACCACGGGGCAGCCGCCGTGCAGCGAGTGCTTGTCCAGGGTGCCGTTGACCGACACGCTGAAGAAGAGCAGCGCGTCGCCCTGGCGCGGCTTCACCTGCGGGCGGCGGCGGCAGCGGGCCAGCGGCATGGGGCGGGCACGTGAGCAGCTTCTCCCTGAGCATCAGGTCTTGAAGCCCAGCAGCCCGCCTCTCGGCGCAGCATGCCTTAGGCATAGGCCGTGTTATTTATTGGCATACCACAGCACGCATCCCCCCATCACCTAGCAGCACAAAACACACCACACTCCGCCGCCGCCCCACCTTGATGCCCGTGTCGCAAGCCTTGTAGTCGATGCGCTCCAGCCTGGCCAGCCCGCCCTTGCCCTCCAGCAGGAACACCGTCTCGCCGCCCTCCTCCACGTCGGCCAGGTACAGCAGCACAGTGGCGATCTGGGGGGAGGGGAGGAGGGGCAGCGCAGGGCGGCAGGGGAGGGGGGCGGTGGGGCGAGGCAGGGGCAGGGGCAGGGCAGGGCAGCATGGGGAGCGGGACGCGGCGCCGTCCGCTTCAAAGCGCTGCCAGAAGCCGCGCCTGCCTCCTCGGCTCTAGCCAACTCGCCACCCACCTCACCACACACACACACATCCACACAAACTCAGGCCAAATTCACCCCGCCACCACCAGGCGCCCCCC